ATATATATACATGATGTATATATATTATATTTTTATGTAGCCCACGAAAATAAATAAACAAATCTCTTCAGGTCCTACTTCTGAACTAATAAAAACGATGTACTGCCTCATGAGCGTTCACTTTAAAATGGGTTTCTCAGTATTGAAATGTAGGCCTACTTCATAGTTAATTCGAAGTCATCAGCGACAGATACAAATACAGTACATAAATAAACAAATATCTCTTCAGTCAGGCTGCTTGTGTTCGCAGCTGCGAGGCAGGTGTAGTGAAACCAACAATGTATATCTGGGCCTATAACTAAATATTATTAGAGGATCAGTGAACAAGTTGCAGTCAGTTGGAGCAATGTAAGGGAAGGGAACTAATCAATAAAACCCCGACTGAGATTTCAGTTGTGTTTCATGACCACAAAATATCACGAAAGCACGAGTAAGAGAAGAGTAGTAGATCGGTCCAATGGTTTTTATTATATGATTTAATGTTACCCCCCCCCCCCCAAAAAAAAAACCCAACAAAAAAACAAAAACAAAACAACCAACCAACCAACCAAACAAACCCAAAACAAAACAAAACCCAAGGTCTTTATATATATATAAGGCTCGAATGTCCCAAGAACAGACTTCGTTTTCCTGAAGTACAGACACTTTGTTTGCTACTTAAAAGTCCATCCTCTAGATTTATGCCAAAAAAAACTACATTTTTGGGACTAGCACTAGACAGCACAGTTTTAAGGCCAACAATTGACATGGTGATAATGACATTATATCAAGTGGAAGGAAGGGTCAAGACAGCTTTTGCTCTAGACAAAAATTAAATTATCTTTATTTCTAAACAGAAAAGAAACAATTTATCATTTTTAAATGTTCGATTTCACTCACACGCTGTCCAGTTTTACCTTCCCTGAACTCTTTCATTCTTTTCTCTCTTAATTGTATCTTCTTCCTCCTCCTCTAATCTCACTGTTTTTCCTCTTTCATCAAAATGCCTAAAAAACAAACTACATCATCTCACTCCTAAAAATGCTTTACCACTTTCCAAATACTGTGTATAAATTATCTTTAAAAACATAGACAGTTGGAGAGGTATACATACTCAAACTGGTAGTTTTCAAGAGGGTGGGTCGGGAAGAATAATAATTTTTATTTCAAGGAAAACCTCACATTTTCTTGATCTACATTTTGTGGTAAATATATTATATTATATAGGCAGGATAATAAATTTAAATACATGATCAGTTTTATACAGCTGTTAATGAACAAAAACATTATCTGGCAAGTTGGAGAATTAACCATAGATTACCAAAATACTTTATACACAATCTTTACAATACTGGTTGGTTTTACTGACCGGACTGAAAATTGCTTTTTTAAAAACTCTTTATCATTCTAATGATAAAGTGAAGTTCAAACCTTACACTTTTAGAGTAGTTAAATATTCATATATTACAGAGTTGTGTAGTATATCCTACTTGTTGATTTTTAAACAAGAACAAAAAAGTAAAAACATGATTTCAAGTTTTAAAGAAAATCTCAATGCACTTCACCTAAGGCATGGACTTTGTTAATTTGGCTCAATCAAAACAGGTTTACTTATAAAATAGACATTGGCTGCGAAAGAGAAGGTGGCTCTGCTTCACAAATGAAAAAACATGTGGGGGTGAAAAACTAACATTTGTGCGTCAGTGATGCCACTGGGATTTTGAGAATTTAAATAACTAAAAATTACAAAGAAGTTGCTGGCAAACAAAACAACACTTAAACTAACAAAGAACACGGAATAGAATTAAAATGAAAACTTTTTTGGAAATGAAAAATAAACAAAAAAACTTCAAGCGCACAGCATTCTCCAACAGTGTGTGTTTTCCACTGTAAACAGCTTTACTTTGTACGTCATTTTTAAAATATCAAAACGCTGCACATTTTGAATTTTAGTTGAAACTACTAAAAACACAAAAAAGCCCCCAGGTTGACTTTTATTCATTCAGGAAAAACGGCATCCCTGGTGTCGTGCATTTTTTTGAGACTCGCCGAACTTTCAAAAAGTAACTTTTTCACTCTCCCTTGATGATGAAAATCTCTTAAAAACATTGTCAACGTACTTTTACTACGTACTGGTTACTTTTTTACAAACTGAGACCTGACTGTTAGAATAATTTTAGGTATTTCCAGGAAATAAATAACTGAAACTGTTGGAAATTTTTTTTTTACTCAACACACTAAGAGCAACACCCTAAAGATTTTGTTACAAAAATAAATTGGATTTGATTGAACCTTTTCATTAAGATAAAATGAGTGTAACCACTTTCAAATCTCACAAAATCTTCTGAAACTTCACAAAGCTTTTAATTTCAAGAGGACAGAAGCACAACATTACTTTATAAAAAATAGCTTTCTGGTCCCTAGATTGAGAATTCTTTCTCAAACCATTTTAAAACACCCGGAGCCATTCATTATAATATACATTATTTTTGAATTTCTACTGGATATTACTACTGTGTACAAAAGGTTCACTTGACAATTCAAATTCTTTAAAAGCTCATTAAAAAAATTTTGAGAACATCACAAATAAATCCGAATATAGAGAGACAAAAAGGTGTTTTTTTTACGGAGCGAAGCTGAGACGAGAGACAACTTTTTAAAGTGTTAAAAACTAAATTTTTTAACTTCTCGGGAAACTAGATCATAGCTTTTTAAAATTTATAACAAGAATGGTAGAGCAAGAAGTAGTGTTGGTGGTGGTAGTGGTAATAGTGTGGAATTTTAAAACTTTTTATTTTAAGATAATTTGATCTAACATTTTTGTCGGGCATCGTGGTGAAATCAAGTGCATGTCAAAACAATAAAATAATACAAACTGGTATTTTTCTGAGCTTGGAGCAATTTTTTCAAAATTTTCTAATTGGCTCAACATCTAATTTCTGTGTGAATGTTGTTGAAAAACATTAATTTTAGAGACACGAAAAATATAAATTTCCAGTTTCCAAGGACACAACAAGCTTTGAAAGTCACCTTAACTTGGTGGCCGTTTTTCGTTAATTTAAATTATCTCCTCATGATACATGAAAAAATACACGCAGGCAACCCCCACCTTCTTCAGTCAAAATTTTACATTAAATGTATCTTGATTTTCATTCCGGAGAGATGGGTATTTCTTGTTGCCAAAAGCAAGACAAGATGAAAAAAGCTGATAAATTCATGAGCGCCAGATTCCACTGGGTCGTGACACATTTTTGTGTACAGTGGAACTTACACACACACACACAAAACAAAGCAGACAAAATAAATTTTTTTTAAAAACTGGTCTCTGCTGTCGAAAAAAAAAATGTGTAGGCTACATGATGTAATAGATGCAACTTTTATAAAATAAAGGATTTAAAAAAGCAGTTGGACCAGTACACACAGACTAAATTTCTCAAGGAAAAGGGAAATTCTGAAAAAATTAATGTCAACTTACCTGTGTAATAAAATCCACATTCCGCCATTTTAGCAGGAGTAAGAGATCGTGCAAGGTACTTCAGCCAATTATTGTAAGTGCCTTCTCTTACTTCCACATCCTCAAACTCTGGATGTTTGATAGAATAATGAACACTGCTAGCCTCAGAACTCTGTGAATCATCGTTTAGGTACCGTGACCTAATTTTATCCCGAATCTTTCGTTCCAGTTCATGAGAAACATTTCCGACATCATACAGTTTGACGAACGGACAACTGAGAGATTTTTCTCCATGTACAGATCGGAGACTAGGACTGTCTCTAATGATAAAATCAAGCTCCAAGTCACAATAAACGCACACCACTTTCCCAGAATCAATTTTGAAGATGAATCCATCTTTTGCGTACACTGCTGCATTTTCCGAACCTGGATCATTGTAAGTAAGTAATCTGTGACTCTCAAAAAGCATCAAATAGTCTCCATGTTTCGGTTTGAATGGATGTTGAATATCAGCTAAAATGTTGGAGGACGATCTACGGGAGTCTGGAAAAAGCTGCCGTCTAAGACTTTCTATTCTTGATCTGTGGTTGTCAGGATCGCTCTCAATCAATGGGGAGGTTGAAGTTGAAGAAGGAGGGGTGTTCATGTATGGGCACTTTGGATTTAGGACCCGATGAACGGCTTGTGGGGACTCCCCACACCATCCCATGTACTCTGCTCCACAGTACGAACACGTAACTTCATCAGATGTAGGCTCTTGTGGTCTCATAAACCCTGCTTCGGCTAATTTCAGCGGTGAATTTGACAGCGACAACTGAAGATCATTTGGCAGTGGTGAACGGTAGAAAGTTTCCAACCGCTTCTGTACCGGAGTTGCAGTAAGGTTGGACACGAAGTCCATGATGACTAGGTATCCAAGAAAGGTACAGAAATAAAACTAAGTGTAAAAAAATTCGAATTACCCTCAAATAGTCACTATGGAAAACACTTTTGTTTATATTCCTATCGGAAACTGGTGAAGGCGGCCATTTGTAATGGGACATAACACACAAGAAGTCCAGAGTTACTCAAGACGCGTTGGAGGAGTTAAATCCCTTCCAAGGTAAAAATCGGGAATTCCCGGTTGAAACTTTTTTTTTTTTCTTTTTTTTTCCATTTTCCACATCCGGCTTCCTCCGGCTTGATCTGAGTGTTTCACTGTTTCAAGGTGTAAGGGGGGAAGGGGGGGGGGGGCTTTGTAAAATCTAAAATCTATTAGACCTAGAGAATCTAGAGCATTATTAGGGCTATTCTAAGAATCGAAATGGACTGACTGACTGACTGACTGACTGACTGACTGACTAATTTACTTACACTCACAATTGCTGACAAATCTTGACTTCAAGTTTTAAAAGGTGGTTGATATACTAAATTTGGTGTTGCCAACCACATAGGTGTTAGCCTATTGTAATTATAATTAAGCGTAGTATTAGATCTAGTTCGTACAATTGCATCTACTCACACTCAAACACATAGGCCTACACATACGCGCGCGCACGTGCACACACACACACACACTCACACACACACACACACACACACACACACACACACACACACACACACACATACAGATTATAGCTACACTTTTAGGAATAAACTATCGCTCACTGT